TTTTGGCCGGATTTTTATTTTATTCGCCTGCGCGCACTAGTTTGGGGGTCTTCATGGGATGTCATCCATAAAATTAAGTCGTTGTGGCTTTATGAGATGTTAAAAGCCGTCAATAAAGCTAACAGAATAAATTCCTGTTGTTAGTTGCCTAGTGTTACCTACCGTAATACGGACAGATGAATCCCGTATTTACTATGTACTTAAAGCGACGGTCACAACCCGCCATACGTGCTTCTGCGTGCTGTCTGCGTTCAAAAACGTGGGCAAACGTAGGGCATCCGTGCATGGTGAGTACCACCTCCGTACGGAATCCTACGGATTTGGGAGCAGGCAGACACGCCGTAGAACTTTAAGTGCATGTAAAACTTTTTCTACGTGCGGTCTGCGGATTCACCACCCGTGCGTGCGAGTACGAGCGACGTGCGTGCCCCGTACGTGCCGTGTTGAAGAAGCACGTGTGAGTACGGCCTCCTTACGGTAAAGTTGCAATCGCACGGAGATCTTACGTTGTAAGCACGTACAACTCATTTATTACTTGCGCAACGTACGATGCACGCAACCGCTCACGGCCAGACTTGGCGTGCAGACCATACTCTTACACTTTGTGCAACCGTGCGAGTGACGTGCGAGTGACGTGCGTAGACGCCACTCCTTACCCACGTTTTCAGAAAAAACGTAGCAGACGTAGCCTCCCAAAAACGTACGGAGAAAAAGCACGTACGGCGGGTTGTGGCCGTCGCTTAAGGGTTTCCTCACTGGCTAATTTAGCATTTTAAACGTTGCATCGTTTTGTCACAAAGAAATTTAGAAAGAACTGTAGTTGTACTGCATATACATACCTGGGTACAAAAGAGGTATGAATATGATTCTATGGACCATATGGATGATGTCATCATATTTTATTGCCCCAAATATATTTATATTTAAAGTTATAATACAGCACGTTGGTACAAATAACTGCAATAAAAGTATGATTTTCGTGTGCATAATGGTCAAAGCTACAAATGTGCGTTTGCTCAAATTGATACCTACTATCTACATGTACTAATTACCTGTAGTTATTAGAGAATAACCTAATAGCCTAATTAAAAGCTAGTTATTATCTAATCCGGTTACTTAGTAGATTTTTATTTTGTACCCAGGTATCAATATTCAGTACAACTAAACTGGGACAGTAAACTGGTGGATGTCCCAACTACTAAGTACCTAATACCAGCCCAGGAGAGAACAAGAAATAGCCATGCCTTCAAGTACCAGAGTTATCAACCAAGGATTGAGGTGTTCAAGAATTCATTCTTTCCTAGAACTATTGCAGAGTGGAACTCACTGTCACCAAGTACAGTAGGGGCATTGTCATCAGATAGCTTTAAACAAAGTCTAGAGCTAGATGTTCGATCGGTGTAATATAGCCAGCTGCCGCCGCGCCGCGTGCCTGCGAAGCTGATGTGTTTCGCCGAAAGGCGGTTATACCGGCTATACAGATACAGAACTACAATTCTTTCTAAATTTATTTGTGACAAAACGATGCAAAGTTTAAAATGCCAAATTAGCCAGTGAGGACACCTTGAACGCTTGCTACTGAGCTCTAAACGTAATTGGTAACAGAAGGTACAGTCACGACAAAGTAATACCGTATACGGGCACTACGTTACCTACTTGTTGGGTAATCGCATACCCGTATCCATCGTATACCCATCTGGTATCTGAAATATATTTCTATATCATAGTAAGGCCATGTTGATTTGATTATATGGATGAAGTCCTATGGGAACCGCAAAACTGATGCGAGCGTGCGAATATGAAAATGTTTGGCAAAACTCTACCCTGTTTTAAAGGTTAAAATAATGACTAAGAACGCAAACAATAATATGACAAAAATATACACACATTTTCTTCCTTTCCTTTGGAATTGATTTTTTAACATATATTATATCGTTTTCCAATATTTTTTGCAATTCGCAACATGTATTTGCCCATTTTGCATCTGCTTTGTACGATTTACATTATAGACGAAAACTGGGGGGGGGGTTAGGGGTTGCGAGAAATTCATGCGAGCATCCATATATATATTTAAATCAACATGTCGACCTAATAGATAATCTAGTTGACGTGGTTTGGTACTCAAGCCTGGCGTCTAGCAACACTTGAAATGTTATTACCTCCATGAAAAATGGAGGTATTGTTTTTGGTCTCTCTCTCTCTGTGTGTGTGTGTGTGTGTGTGTGTGTTTGTGTGTGTGTGTCTGTGTGTGTATGTGTGTTTTCCCACATTTGTAGTCAGCATAACTTCAGTACGCCTTTGTGGATGATTTGGTCTGTTGTTAGGTCGTAAGAAGGCAAAGGTCAAGGTCAAATGTGGGCCTACTGGTGGCTGACCTTGGTACTGCAGCAGAACTTCCGGTTTTTGTATATTTTGTCCTGAACATGCTATGATCTTGACTTTTGGGTGACAGATATCTTTTCCTGTCAGGAATAAGAGGAGATATTTTATACCTTGTGACATGTGTAAGGTACTAAAAGATTAACATCACTAAGCATATTTTATGCCATGGCTACAATAATAAGGAAATGCTGCAATAAAATACTAGTATTGCTAGAGGATAGGACTTTTACACGCAAAATATTATAATTTGAGTCTAGAAAATCAACAATTAAACTAGATTATTTCTAAACGACCTTATTTCTATAATCAATGAGACACATTCAAATGCCACATTTCCAAAAGCTTCATATTACATGGAGGTATGATATCTCCGAATTCTTGTTTTTAGGTTGTAAACATGCTTCGGTTTCGTGTTATCGAACTTTTTTTTTAGTATTTCCAACATGTAATCACAAGACGTGGTGACGGCACACTCAAGTTTTTAAAATTATATTAATACATGCAATACAATACTCATTTTCACCTGAGCGAAGTGAGGAAAGCCGTGTAAACTGCCTTTCCCAAGGGCACAAGATCGGTGGCATATGTCAGGACTCGAGCCCGGGACCTCTAGGTTCCGAGTCGAGCACTCTGTCGCTACGCCACACGACCCCATTAGCTGATCGAAAGGTTTGTCCCAGGACGCAGCTGCAGGCAAGACAGAACGATCAATGTTGTCTGATCAGAGATCTAGATTCTTATAGTACGCTACAGCAATGATGGTCCAAGCGACATTGATGTGCAAGCTTATCCTGACTCAGCTTTAATCATTTCTATTGTGTCTACGTGATAGAGCAACAATTGGTGTTCATAACAAAGCCATCCTGGTTACATACAATACATCAAATACATGATTCTCATATTGACATTCAAATCTGAGATTCAAATTACATTCCAATCTGAGATTCACAAGTACCGAACACGCTCAACCAGTACAAACAAAATCAGACTACCAAAACCAAAATCAAACTCTCAGAAAAAACGTTTTATGTACAGGATGTCACAGTTGTGGAATAACACAGGCGGCAACTAGCAACGTACTGGACTGTAAATAGTGAATTGTGTAAAGTTTGCCATGTACTGTTAATTTTGTAATGTTTTTGTACGTTTGTAATACATGTATGTAAATATGAATGTGTAGACCACAGGAAGAATAACCTCTTATGAGGCTAATTGTGGATCTGAATAAAACTCAACTCAAACTCATTGACAACTACCAGCGGTGTTCTTAACATTGGTCACCCACCGTAATCTATGCGGGGTCTAAGATTTGCAGTCCTGTCATCTTTCCATTCATAAAATTGTTGAATATATTTTCATCGTCAATTACATTGGTAACAATGACTTCCTTTGCACAATACACATTTATTAAAGATAAGGATAATTAATAAATGGTTTTTATTGTCCAAACAATACCCGTGCAGTCGCAGCCTTTAACGGCTGAATTGATGCAGGGTATCACATGATAATCAATACAAATCACAACAATCAAATTATACACATGATAACACATATTTGCTCCACAATTTGTTTTGTGGAACTGTCGCAAGGGTCTGTGCGGCTGCCATTCGGCGCCACAAGGTGACCTCAATACGGCTTTCCCCAACCGAAGTTAGGTACCTATTTACACCTGGGTGGAGTGAGGAAGGTTGCGTAAAGTGCCTTTTCCAATGGCACAACGTCGGGGCGCATGTCCAGACATGTACCGGGTACAATTCGGGATTGAACCCGGGTCTCCGGGTCTATGGTGACTAGTCGATGGAAAATGATGCGAATGCAGGTCATTTCCCGCCTCTTACCTAACAACACCTACTTGTTTCATAAGACCATGTATGCCTAGTTATTAGAGGTTATTTTCGTAATAGTGATCGGTAATGAATGAAACTTAATGGTAGTCATTACGTAACTTATCGAATGTTAGTCATTAAGTAACATAAAGAACAACTTCTTACACAGAAATCGACACGGTCACAGGTAGATATCATTCTGTACACTCCCACTGATATAATTTTCGTAACATTCAACAATTCCTATCATAGATTTACTATATTTGAACCACAGATCACTTTGTCGAACCACAAGTATCTATACTTTTAATCCTACTGTTAGTCTGCTTTGGGGAACCTCACGATTGTTGTGAGAATCCTCTAATGCCACACCACGTAAATGTTATGGATGACGTCCGCGCACGCATTGATGTTGGCCTGTTCTAGAGAAAAAAAACAAGAAATTCCGCTTCCTGTAACTATGACCAAAGAGTCACGACAGTGCCGCAAATCGTCAGATTGACGTGAAACCCGTAACGCCAAAGCCTGTGCCTGGTTAAAAATATGAAAAAAAAAATGAAAAAAAAAAAAATGGCACTGAAAAAATACTGTCAATAGTTCCAGAACAGTGTCGTTTTTGGAACTATTAACAGACAGGACGGTCCTGTCAGCAGTGCAATATTTCTTTTCTAGGCATCTTGTTTTTAGGGCCCTTCTTGTTTTTTTCGCCCTCTCGCATTAGATTTTGGGTCTCCAAAGGACGTCATCCATAAAATTTACTTGGTGTGGCCTAATGACGCTTTCCGGAAAGAATTATTTTCTGTCTGACTTTGCCAGAGGCGTCATTTTTATGGTCTCCTTAACATCATCCTGGTCTTCAGCACGCTGAACATTGCGTTTGGGCATTTGTAATTTCGCATTCTCAAGACGTCTTTTGATGGACATAGACTCAAGGTTGTTCCGAATATTTGTATTAAAGAATCCATATACAATAGGATTGGCGCAGCTGTTGGAGTAGCCCAACCAATGAGCAACGGGGTAGACATACCGATGTATCACAGCCATCTGTTGTTTTGAGAGCCTGGCAAAGTCTACAAGCATCCAGCACGTGTACAGCGGTAACCAGCACAATGCAAATAGCACAACAACCGTGATCAACATTTTCAGAACCCTGACCCTCTTTTTCGAAACTGCAAATTGTGAAGCGTGCTGAGGATCGTCCACAGCGGACGATGGTGTCATTGCCAGCTTGCACATGATGCGGCAGTAGAAGAAAGAAATGACTGCGAGAGGACCAACATACACGAGAGAGAAAAGCATGAACGTGTATGTTTTCTTGTAAACAATATCTGGCCATGTTTCGATACAAGCGTTGACAGAGACGGTCTTGGTTGGATAGAACGTCTCGACTTGTAGGACAAAGACTTGAGGAACCATCACAGCCACGGCACTAATCCAGATGCCTGCCAGCGCGTACCTCATTTTCGTCAGACTCATCCGCGGTTCAGTGGGAAAGACGATCGCCTTGTATCTGCAGAAAAGATGAATAGAATAGAAGATGAACAACACTTTATTCTAGACTGTACTTTATATTCTAATGAAAGATCTGTCCTTTTTAATTATATCAAAGAGAAGTTCCCATACTTTGAACACCTAATTATATAATAAGCGCAAATGATGAATTTATATTTTTGATGCGTCTAGACAAACCCTGTATCACAAATATGATCTGCTCCCATAGTTTCCACTGTACAAAAAAGCGAGAAGAAGTTGACCTCCCTATATTAGCTCAGTGACTAGAGCACTTTGTATTAGCCTAGTATAGTACCATGTATGTTTCTTATGTATGTATGTCTACGTCAAGTAGTGCATCTTTTGTCTCAAATTTTCTATATAGGTTTGTTATGTGTCTGTTATATCTTGACCTGTACCTAGCCCATTGTGGCATGAATGTACAATAAAGGTATTTCATTATCATTATCATTATTAATATTTCAATTCAGCTAATAACTAGATATGAAGCTGAAATAAATAAAATTGGCAACCACGAAACAGCTACTATCTACAGAAATTGCTGAAGTCAAACGTCAGTATGTAGAATTTTAAAATTTCTAGACATATTTCGAATTAGCAGTGCAAACGTTTTAGAAAATACCGGACGAAAATAAATCACTTGATTGCAAGTGGTGAGAGAACGAAGATTATAATTTGACGATGTATGCTGCTGCGTTTGGTCAATCTACAGGCATAATCTTTTGGTGGTTATCATTTAATCAAATGGCAACTGTCTGTCTCGCCAATGAATACAGCTTGGCCAGTCTTCGCAGCCAACGAAAGATCTGCTTGGAGATTAGTGATTGCTGTGTTCATGTGTTTTATCAATTTCAATTTGCGTTTATGAAAGAACGATACCAAACAAACATGAAATAGTAGGACATAAGAAAATTAGCATAATACTCTAAAGAAAATAAGTATTAACACCCTTGCCTTGCTGGCATTCCTGGCACAATATTTTTCAATGATTTCATGTCTTAATTAGATCATAGACCCCCATTTTTTTTCTCTGCAGTGGCATAGTTATTTCCGTATTTGTTGCGTTTCGCTGCGGTGTGATGCGTTGCACGAGAAATACCCCCAAATCGTACCTATACAGGGTGTTATATAGATGGTACTGTATGTGCAGAACAACAATGTTGTGCTCCGCAGGACAAGGGTTAATGCATAAAAAATAGCAATCTGAGGTACTGTTTGCCGAAGAGGTTCTCTTGGCGTTGCTTTAATGCAATGATTGCTGTCACAGTGGTTGATTGGGACACATTTGAGATAGGACAGCGACTTTAAGTAAATTGCCATTTTTCCACGCCATGCTGTCACAGATAGCCTACCTGTCATAGGCAATCGCAGTCATCGTGTAGACTGATGCCGCCACAGAAATGCCCTGGATCATCGGGTTCACTCGACACATGACGTCCCCGAACTGGTAGTCTGCAGCGTGCACAGAGACGAAATATCATGACGTTTCTATCTGTATAACTGTATAACTCTATAACTGTCAGGGTTATACACCACATAGTACTACATATTCAATGAAAACATGGTGGGGTCGTGTGGCGTAGCGGCAGAGTACTCGACTCGGAACCCTGAGGTCCCGGGTTCGAGTCCTGACATGCCACCGATATTGTGCCCTTGGGAAAGGCACTTTACACGACTTTCCTCACTTAACTCAGGTGAAAATGAGTATTGTCCTGTTCTGTATTTGTCCTCTGCGTTGGTGACGGTATAAAATAAGTTGACATAACTTGAGTGTGCCGTCGCCATGTCCAGTCATGAAATGTTGGAATAAAAAAAAATGAAAACATACAATCGTTAGGTAGTTTTCTACGTATCTAATATTTTCAATGTCAAATCGAATACACAGTTTGCCTAGATGTTTATAAATTGGACTGTAGGTAACCCATTCATTTGAACACACAGTCATGTAGTCACCATATTCCCCAAGATCATATTCCCACAAGACCTTTATTTGTTTAGTTTAGTGTCTTTATAATATCATGTAACATGAAAATTTTCCAAAACATCATTATAATGATTATGAATCTCAAAGAGAAAGAGAAAGCAAAACGAGCTGTGCTCTAGTCATCATATTCCAAAAGATTATATTCCCCAAGATCTTTAGTTCAATTTTGTAGTTTATATAACATTGCTGTCCATTAATGGTTTCCTCGTTTGAAATAGTGTCTTTATGATGTTATGTAACGTGAAGATTTTCCAAAACATCATTATAATGATTATGAATCTCAAAGAGAAAGATATTCAAAGCAAAACGAGCTATGCTTGATGGTTTCCCTGTTTGAAATGGTGTCTTTATAATATTATGTAACATGAAAATTTTCCAAAACATCATTGTAATGCCAAAAAAACAGTTACTCAAGCAACTGGATATGATTTTGAAAACGTCAGACGTTTCAGCTAGTATCCACTAGCTTTCGTCAGTGACTGAGAGACCAGAGGGGAAAGCAGGTTTATATACACAACCTGTTGATTGATATGCAAATAAAGTGAAGACAAATTTTTGGAAGTCGAAAAAGGAACAAAAGTCAGACAAGTCAAGACAAGATGGTGCAAATTAGTCTGAAAGCTCCTGTTATACAGGACAGGAGCTTAAGTGTTGTCTGTCCTCGGGGCTGGGAGTGCCAAATCCCAAGTGCCGGAAAGATCGACCCGTAGCCCCCCTTCCCTGTTGAGGGTGGGGTTGTACATTCTTTCATATATTTCCTCTTTAACACCCCGTTCCCACCAGCGTGTTTCGCGGTCTAAGACATCCGTGGACTCGAGTTTGAAAGAGTGACCCTGGTTGTGTTGTAGGTGGTGGAAAATAGCTGAGGAGTAGCCGTTGGCAGTAGGTCGGCAATGTTCTTTGTACCTTACTTTAAGCGGTCGACTTGTCTCTCCGATGTAGGTGTTGTTACAATTGGGCTCCTCACATTTGAGTCTGTAAATAACATTCGCCTTGGTACCCTTGTGAGGTCGGTCCTTAGGGTGTACCAGTCTTTGTCTGAGGGTTGAGTGAGGTTTGAAGTTAGTGGCTATGTTGAAGTTTTGGAAGATCCGTCGGAGTTTCTCAGATACTCCTTGGACATACGGAATAGTGATGTTGGCCTTGTTTTTGTTGGTCAATGGTTTGCACTTCTGGGTTTTCTTAGACTGATCTGAAGGTTTGAGCGCTTTGTTGAAAGTCCAGTTTTGGTAGCCACATTTAGCCAGGGCGCCTCGGAGGTGTCTATGTTCGTCCGTTTTGGCTTGGTCTGAAGTGACAATGTTGTCTGCACGATGGAAGAGAGTTTTGATCACTGCTAGTTTGTGTTCCAAAGGGTGGTGGGAATCAAAGGCCAGGTACTGATCAGTGTGGGTAGGTTTCCTGTACACTTCGAAACGAAGGTTACCATCTTCCTCTACGATAGTTTTGGTGTCTAGGAAAGGGAGCATGTTGTCATGGCTTGGCTCCTGTGTGAACTTGATGTTGTCATCTATCTGGTTGATGTGGTCAAAGAAGTCAGCAGCTACCCTCTTTTTCAATCTGCACCAAGTGTCGAAACCAGTTGGCCGGGGGAGTGTCATTGAAAGTGCTGAGGGCTTTGTTTTCAAACTTCTCCATGTACAGGTTTACAACAATTGGTGAGACTGGTGATCCCATAGCACAGCCGTGCATTTGTTGGTAGAACTGTCCTTTGTAGGTAAAGTATGTGCATCCTAAGCAGAGTTCTAGTAGCTCACAAACTTGGTCAACGGATAGGTTGGTTCTATCTGAAAGTGTATCATCGGCTTCCAAGGCTTCCTTGACTACTGACACTGCTTCCTTGGGTGGTATGGAGGTGAAAAGTGAGCACACGTCATATGAAGTGATGGTTTCATCATCCTCTACATGAATGTCTTTGATTTTGTTGACAAAGCCGGCACTATTCTGTACATGGTGCTGAGATTTCCTCACTAGTGGTCCCAAAATCTTGGCTAGAAAACCTGCTAACTCATAGGTGACAGAGCCTATACTGGAGACTATGGGTCGTAGAGGGACACTTTGTTTGTGGATTTTGGGAAGGCCGTAGAAAGCAGGGGGTTGTTCCGTTGTGGGATTGAGTTTTAGGTAGGTGGGGCGATCCAGAACTCCTTCAGTTTGCAATTTCTTGAGAGCTGAACTGATTTTCCCTTTAAACTTGTTAGTGGGGTCCTTTTTCAAGGGCATGTAGGTGTCTTTGTCTCCCAATAGGTCCTGTACCTTGGGTCATATCCAGTTGCTTGAGTAACTGTTTTTTGGCATATCGTATTACCTGGATGTCTAACCTTCATCGACGCATCATTGTAATGATTATGAATCTCAAAGAAAAACATCTTCTAAGCAAAACGAGCTGTGCTCTTACGCAACATACGAAGTACAAAAACCGGCAGACACGCACAAGCAGCATTTCCATCTATAAGTGCACCAAAGGGTCTCTGGTCTATCCCCGATACTTTGTCAAGATTACTCGAGAAGGGCAGCTAAAAGGCTACTTCTTTGATATATTTACGTTGGAAGATACCGCTTTGGTTTGTCCAATATTTGCTGATTGTGCTTGGAGCCAGGAATTAAAAAAACGGACTCAATAAGAGTCTTCAAACTGGCTTTGATCTAGTATCTAGCAAGAAAATCTGTGTGAAGCTGCGATTTCTTCAGATCTTTTGGATCAGCATAGCCTCTGAAGATACACTTTAAAGGATCGGCCTGTCCCTGGGGGGTTGATTTTACTAAATTCCTGATTTCCTCTTAATTATAACGACCCCTTAGGATATTCAGGGAAGTGATAGTGCTAAGAGGAACTAAGAGGTCCGTCCTTTCAGTAAGATGAAAGTCACAGCGGGTCGGTAAATGACTCGCGTTACCGCCTGATTCTCATGAAACCAACCAAAACTCATAGCAACACAAAGTGAGGTAAACAGACAGTCGAAACAAACTTAAGACTGTCTGTTGCAATTGGTAAAGGCTACAAACCCAAAATCGTCATAAACTCTGGTCTGGATCCTCTTTACTTTATCAAGTCATTTTTATATAGTTCTAAGAGTTAGAAAGTCTAGTCTTTCTACATAATTTGGATAATTCCAGAAATCCTGTACACCTTCCATCCTGTACCTTTAGATTTGAAGTTAATGGTCTTATGTCACTATTGTGTTGCTCAGTGAAGGTCCTAAAATGTGAACACATGTTTAGTCCCTAATTAACGTCGCTAAGGTTTTTGTTCTGTCTGACTTTGGGCTTGAGGGAACAGGTAGAGTTGACATTTTCTTGCTTTGGTCAGGTTTTGTTGTCAACTGTTCTAAAAGTTTGAGCTTGTGGAGACGAACCCTCATGACTCTCCGGTTCTGGCCTGGTAAATTTTCTACAATGAAATATGGGAAATTACTTTTCCGGGGTCTTGTTTTTTTTTTAATTTTTTTCAACTTATATTAATGCCGCCACCAACACAGGGAACAAATCAAATACATGACAGGACAATACTCATTTACACCTGAGCTAAGCGAGGAAAGTCGTGTAAAGTGCCTTTCCCAAGGGCACAAGATCGGTGGCATGTCAGGACTCGAACCCGGGACTCTTAGTTCCGAGTCGCGCACTCTGTCGCTACGCAACACGACCCTATATGGTTTCAGTTATTGAACTATGGCCTTTAACGGTCAATGCCTTAAAGCTTCAAATGACATGCGGAAATCACACCATAAGTCCGTCATGTCTCACAATATGTATATAGCTTTTTTTTATTTCAACATGCAAAAATACAATACATAGTGATGACGGTCTCAAGCAACATGCTTATATTCACGTCACCACTAGACGTAAAATAAAAATTACATCACAAAACATGGGTATTGTCCAGGTAACAAGAGAACAGTTATTATGATATATTTTAAATGAATACACAGGTATAAATCAGTTGTTTTAACGCTTAGTTTCAGAGAGAGATATAGCTGTGTAATAATGAGTATTTGAGAGTTGACTTTAGATGAAAGTAAAGGTGATCCATTAAGTAGCAGATACACAGTAGCACTATCGGATAGGTTGTTATTTAATTAATATCTAAGAATGGGATGTTAAATTGTAGCTTTGAGGTACTCACCAGTCAGAATATGCTCCACTAGAGTGAACGGCATGCAGAAAATGGCCACCAACAGGTCACTCACGGCCAGGTTCAAGATGAAGTAGTTAGTCACAGTTCTGTGGAACAGTAAACAATATTTATAATCGTTGTAATATTTTTGCTGATATGACCCTTGATGATCGTTCAGACATCGTCTTACAAATGATCAACATTTTTGTGGATTCAATGAATATGTCAGAGATAATTAGTGGGTACATTTCCAAATTTAACCCTTGCTTGTTACTAAGTGACTGATCATGTGAAGAAAATTTGCCATAATCATTTTATACTTCCCACTATACTACCATTTTGAATCAAGTGGAAGAAGAAAATGTGTTGCTTGGCTGCCTTTCCGTGGCGAAAGTTTGCCATCATAAATCCAAACCCACATGTTGTATACAGAACCGTGCTTTAAGCCCCTGTCACATACATGTATTCACGGATTTTGCCTCCCGAACGCTAGAGGAACGCCCGACAACCATGGTTAGGAGTGGGTCGGCGCAAAGTGTTGAAAATATTCGTGAGGAGTTCGGGAGATGTGACCATACTTAGCTGGTTTTTGACCGTAAAGCCTAGGTCACAATTCAGGAAAGCGGCCCGCTCGGTGCGTTTGCGACCTGTTTTTTTGGCACTACCGAACGGGACCTGTACGGAGACTGGCGGGCTTCCCGACGGCTGCCGGTCTATTTTTGACCCCGCGCGGTCGCCGAATTGATTTTAACTCAAACTTAAAATCACCCCGGGTCCCGGCGGGAAAAGTACGCCGTGACGAAGCCGTAACCTCACCGGACGAAGCCGTAACCTAGCCGCCGGGTCCCGCCAGGCGGCCGCACAGGCACCTGTCCAAGATCATGACGTCACGTGTGCTGATCTGTGCTTTAATTGTTCAGAAGAAGGTTGTTATGGAGGGTATTGTGATGTTCTGGACATAGCTCCGTCATCAGTGAGTCGCAGTGACCATACACGGGTCTGCGCATCAACCAGGGGCGAACCCACCATACCAGCCAGGGGCGTACCAGCCTGGGACCCGCCAGGATCGCCCCTGGACACCGCCAGGGACCCAATAGCTGCCCGGCCGGAATGCAAGAGCTGGTCGGCACCCTACCGCATCCCTCACAGGTCAAGACGGGAGACTGACCGGGCACCGGACGGCTCCCTAACGGAAACCGGTCGTCAAAGAGACCAAAAGTTTGTGAATTTTAAATAGAAGCCGCCTCAGCGCTCCGACAGGGAGCCGTTAAGGAACATGAATTATATATGCTCCCTATAACCCCATTTTCCTTACCACGTTATGCACTGATCAGCACATGTGACGTCATAATCTTAGGCAGGTGCCTGTCCGGCCGCCCGACGGGTTCCGGGCAGTGAGGTTACGGCGTCACTTCGGCTTACCTTGCCGGACGGGGCCTGAAGTGATTTTAAGTTTGAGTTAAAATCAATTCGGCGACCGCGCGAGGCCAAAAATAGGCCGGCAGCCGTCGGGAAGCCGGTCTCCGTCCAGGTCCCGTTCGGTAGTGCCAAAAAACAGGCCGAACACGCGCCGAGCGGGCCCCTTTAATTTCTTGAATTGTGACCTATGCTTGACAGGGGATTTATTCAAAACCGTCCTCAGGCACAGTTCTGGATAGTCCACACGTATCCAGGACCGTTCTTGTACGTGGAGGCTATCCAGAACCGTACCTGATCGTAACTCTAACCCGATCAGGTATAGAACACTGTTTTGGATACGATACCACACATGCAGATGCTAGGCTTGGTCACTAACGTTCCGTGGACCGAGACAAATGGAAAAATGTTATGAGTTACTGTTACACCCTTCTATTAACGCTCTGGTCCCTTTTGCTGTATGTAACATAAATCATTAACATCACATCCAGTCACTATGATAAGATACACAATCGGTCGTGGTGAACGGTTTAAAAATACGAAGTTAAAACTAGAAAGGCCGACAGCTGTTAATACAGTTAAACCAATTAGATCTCAACAGCCAATCAACAAGAGGGATAGAGGAAAGCAGCTTATCTGGTTTAAGAATTTGGTTAAAAAATAGCAAGGTATATAGAAATGTAGGTTATATGACATGTTTCTACCGATTTACAACTCAGAAGACTTCTTTTCCTGGCTAATACTTGTAAAAAAAACAGAGTAACTATTCCTATTATAAGTATGTGGAAGCCTACACAGGTGTTCATTCAGCAGTAAAGTAATTAAGGGAACAGCCAATCAGAGACCAGATCTCCAAACAGGGTGCACCTGCTGCCCATATTTGGGCATTGGCCCTATGCCCAAATATGGTCACACTCCAATCTTGGCAACACACACTGCTACAGTACATTACCTATGAAAAATGAAGGAGTTGAATCAATTTAAAGAAATGGCAGGAGAAGAAGAAGAAGGAGAAAAAGAAACGTCGTCAGCAAAAACAATAAGACATCACCACTAGGTGGTGAAGTCATAATCAGGTTACATCACACCTAATTTAATGACGTAAACCACATCTGACAGCAGTTCCTGTTTCCGGCCGGTGGGCGTTCGGACGTAATTCCTAAGTGGCCTTAACAAAGTTAGCTTGCCACGTCACGCACCAATTACTTTAGCTTAGATGTGTAACTCCTAACTGCGTACATCGTACATCCTTTCTGAACCACCCCCACTACAAAGTGAGGTCACCACGTCACCAAAGGCCCTATCTGTGAATGGGTTAGGCCACACCGATTAATTTTATGGATGACATCCTCTGAAGACCCCTAAAAACTAGTGCGCGCGGGCGAATAAAATAAAGAATCCGGCCAAAAATAAAGATGGTACTAAACCACAGGAATACAAAGGCAAAGCTGGTGTTGTGAATTTGCGGCAAAACATAGCGACATATACGACAAGACGTCACATGCTGTTTTTTTTTCGGATTTATGAATCGACACATCGTATGTACTAAGGTCTGGAGTCGTGGAGCTTTGGTAGCCTGGGCGCCATCCTCCAGAGTTACCACCGGCTCCGTACTGTCGCTATCTAGCAAGCTACAATGGACTATTAATATTCAGGCCAGAGCCTCAGATGACTTGATCCTTTTTTTTTCTTTTGAGAACAGACGAAAATCAGTGCGCGCGCGGATGTCATCGATAAAATTAAGGCGGTGTGCCCTTAAGGATCAGGCACGGTTCTAGGCAGTCTCCGCTTGTTCAAGCTCTTGCTTCTTACAAAAGAATTCATACCTTTCACCCGAAGGCTTGGCATAGCTAAAGCCGAGTTCCCAATTCTCACACGTGACCCGACCGGGCATTTTTTGGGAACGAAAAGTACGATATAAAAGACAAAAAAATCACAGAAAAGTTTTGGGTAATAGTCATGGGCAGTATTTCTGTATATTTTTATTATTATGGCTTCACGTGTGTGCAAGTGTTAATGAATTTTCGCGTGAATTTTCGCGTGCATGAATTTTCGTCTGTTTCCAAAAAGAAGTTTTGACCATACTGTAAATCGTACAAAATGAGCGAGTATACGTCGTGCGTGAAACCATATTGCTTTTTCTGATGTTTCTTCTCCTTCTCCTTCTTCTTCTCCTGCCATTTTTTAAATGGATTCAGCTTCTTCATTTTGGGGCCTAAGGTCCTGAAATTTGGTATGGAGGTACAGTGGGCAAATACCCCCAGGCTTTTTTATTTTATTTTTGTGATACAGGCTTTTAGAATGGTTTTATTTGAGCTTTTTGGCTGTGTTATAGCAAATGTATTACTGTGCTGTGTACCACGTTTGGGCATGAGTCATCACAATGGAATGCAGGGCATCAACCAATAGGCATGCAGCTTTCCTCTATTCTTCTTGCTGATTGGCTGTTGGGATTTAACTTGATTAACACTTGCACACAGCATTTCCACCTGCACAGAGCATTTCTTGCTGATTGGCTGTTGGGAATTAACTTGATTAACACCTGCACAGAGCATTTTCATACTGACAGTATGTCTGTATTCAAGTGTTTTGGTAGGTATTTCAAGCTTTCCTGCTCCAGCATTGGAATGCGGGGCATGTAACGTTTTTTTTTATTTTGAAAATCAACAGTTTGCATTATGCAATTAAAAATCCTAACCAATAATGTAGGGAATAGCTATCCAACTGTTGTTTTAGTTGTATGTTACTTCATATTATAGTTATATCAATGTAAATCATTGTTTTCCCTTGTGTTTCTCATTCTTTCCCTACCATGTCGTAAAATGTGGTGAAGCCATCGCTGTATTTGCTCCTAAGCAAATATTGGCCTTTCTAGTTATTTGTTAATTTTTCGTTCATAGCCTGATCGGCCGGCCACGGTTTGAAAATGTGACCTAAGGCGATGTTGATTTGATTATATGGATGACATCCACGCGTGCATGAATTTTCGTCTGTTTCCAAAAAGAAGTTTTGACCATACTGTAAATCGTACAAAATGAGCGAGTATACGTCGTGCGTTGCAAAAAAAGGATTGAAAATTGATACTAATGTCATAGACTGCCGAAATCAATTCAGGAAAAGAAGGAAATGTGAAGAAAGAAATATAAAGAGTTTGTCATTATTCGCCATACCTTACCCCGTGCGTCTAGTCATTTGTTCAACCTTTATGACCCAGTAGATTTCATAATGAAGGAAACTTTTTGGCCAAACTTTTTTATTCGCACGCTCGCGTCAGTTTTGGGGTTTCCAGAAGATGTCATCCATATAGTCAAATCAACATGGCCTAAGCATACAGGTCTGTGGACTATCTGTCTGATGCAACTAATTGAGAATTTCAGGAAATGTTAAGCTGTGCTATTGTTTTGCGAGCTTAGGCATAATGAGTAAGGTTGCCATTAACCCTTTAGGCCACAGCGAGTACATTTTATGGATGACATCCAACGCGAACTCCAAATCTAATGCGAGAGGGCGAAAAAAGCAAGGCAGGCCAAAAAAAACAAGATTCCTACATTTTACAAATTTGGACTCAATCATTGTAAAAAATGGTTTTGATTCAGTGGAAACATTACATATACACAGCCAGCATCACATATCACTGCATCAAAGTAAGAAATAAAACACTGAATCAGAGTCTTTTGTTGTCTCCTCTCTTCATAGTTATCTGCCATCCACGTTCCGGTATGGCAACAGACATATTAGCCCATTTTTCGCATGTTGAATACTGTCAGGAGAAAACAAAATTTCCTTTTTTTTCTCCAAAATCAGGCAAAAATTAATGCGCGAGCTGATGTCATCCATAAAAATTACTTGCTGTGGCCTTAGTAATAATAATAAATGGTTTATTGGCCAAACATCACCCGTGCAATCGCAGGCTTATAGTGCTGAATTGCAGGGTTTACAATGGTACAATGATACTAATGGTAATAATACACATATTATTAATAAGAACATAATACGCATGATACATATTTGTTCCACATTTTTGTGGAACTGCCGCAAGGGTCTGTGCGGCTGCCATTCGGCGCCACAAGGTGACCTTAATACGACTTTCCCTAACCGAAGTTAGGAACCAATTCACACCTGGGTGGAGTGAGGAAAGTACTACCTGAGCCTGGGGGTTTTGATGACCACGCCACAGACGATGACGTTTCCAACGACGCACAGCAGGAACACCAGGGCGTAGGCCATGATGATGAGGCCGGTGATACCGGCCCCGTGTTTGTACCGGTGCAGTGTGAACACACCGTCCGCAGTCGTGCCGTTAGCGCTGCCGTTCAGAAAGTCCTGGCCATCGTAGGAGGCGGTCGTTTCGTTCGCCATTGTTGACCAAATGTCCAACTTTCCAGTCACCGGTGTGTCAGTTGATCAGTGATGATATCTCTGAAAAGATAAAATCGTAATTGTAAATTTACGAGTCATGTGGCTTATATATATATTATATGAATCTTTATTGCATGTTCTTGCCCAGATGGGCTAAATGCACAGGAGGTCATGCAGTATGCAAAACATGAGTATTGCATACTGAAACGCTATATTCTAATGCTAATTGTTAGGAATTTATACATTATAACAATACTATATACTACCTATCATCTACTGTTAGTTGCCCTTTCTTCTCTCTTTTTGAAACAATTGGAAACATAATTACATAGTTTGTCTGCTATATATTCGTTCTTGCATGACATCAAGTGTTTAAACATGTCCTGCTTTGACATTTCCTTGGATACATTTTATACATTACATACATTTTATATACATAACTATACATAACCACGTGACAAGCTTCACTGGGTCAGTCTACTGAGGAAGACCAGAGTGACTGGTCGAAAGCTCTAGGTGAGAGAAGTTTTTTGTGTTGGACCAAAAGTTTAACTTTAAACAATCATGTAACTACCAACACAGATGAGCTTTCATGATAGCATAACTGTCTTGTTTATGGGTTTATCACTTTCAATCATAAAAAAGGTTTGCTTATGTTGAAATTTTGGTTAAATAAATATCATTCAGTCCCTGTTGAGAACCCAAACAATTTTTTTTTTTTACATTAGAATGTGTTTGTCAGGATTGCACTGCAGATTGCACTGACTGATCAGATGGCAGCTGGCTGTAATGTTTTTCTTCCATATGGCGCCTGTACCCCTAAAGTGTATGTTTAAAGCTTCGGTCACAACCCGCCATGCGTGCTTCTGCGTGCTGCCTACGTGCAAAAACGTGGGCAAACGTAGGGCATCCGTGCGTGGTGAGTACCGCCTCCGTACGGAATCCTACGGATTTGGGAGCACGCAGACACGCCGTAGAACTTTAAGTGCATGTAAAACTTTTTCTACGTGCGGTCTGCGGATTCACCACCCGTGCGTGCGAGTACGGGCGACGCGCGTGCCCCGTACGTGCCGTGCGGAAGAAGCACGTGTGAGTACGGCCTCCTTACGGTAAAGTTGCAAGCGCACAGAGATCGTACGTTGTAAGCACGTACAACTCACTAACCACTTGCGCAACGTACGATGCACGCAACCGCTCACGGCCAGACGTGGCGTGCCCACCACACTCTTACACCTTGCGAAACCGTGCGAGTGACGTGCGTAGACGCCATTCCTTCCCCACGTTTTCAGAAAAAACGTAGCAGACGTAGCCTCCCAAAAAACGTACGGACAAAAAGCACGTACGGCGGGTTGTGACCGAGGCTTATATCAAAATGCAGGAACGGATATGTGCGGATGGGAAGTTGATACAGGTCAACATTTACCCACTGGCTATTACCACATCGTTATCTCCTCTTCAACGGTCAGGTCACGGGAAAAATAGCGTGACGAACACTGACGAAAGTTTCAATATGCGATGAAATAACTCTGAGATAACAAAAAAGCCTTTGACATTTGTGGCATAAGCTGAAAAGCTGGTTAATCTGAAATGTATTATCACTATTCATAGGTTTATCTCGCGTTTTCCCAATTTCGGTTTCGCATCATCCTTCTGACATTTCAGAATCTAACATTATACGAAGCATATTTATGAAAGATTTATACGCCCTGGTGCATTTCTATTGACAATTGTACTCAGCAGATTGACGAGCTTTATCGGGAAAGACAGGTTCAGTCGGCAATACGTGCTCCTGGCTACGTTAAGATGGTATTATTCCTCACGTAGTTTACGGTAAAATGGAATTACTCCCCCGTACCTCTTGCTTAAGGGTATTTCTAGATGCAGTGATGTAAGATACGTGCAGATTAGGCAATGAGCAAGCATTCAAGTCTGCAAATAACGATTGTTTCTGAATTTTGCGATTCGTGATTTTGAGAAAGGTGCGTTCTCGCATCGCCGTGTCAGTTGATCAGCAATTCTTTACCTCCATGAAAAATGGAGGCATTGTTTTTGGCGTGTCTGTCTGTGTGTGTGTGTGTGTGTGTGTGTGTGTGTGTGTGTCTGTCTGTGTGCTTGTGTTTACGGACATTTGCGACCAGCATAACGTTTGAACCTGTGGATGGATTGTAATGATATTTGGTATGTGGGTAGGTGTTGAGTAGGCAAAGGTCAAGGTTGATTTTGGGCCTCCTGGTGGATGACCTTGGTAATGCGGCAGTAATTCCGTTTTTGTATCTTTTGTCCTGGACATGGTATGGTCTTGACTTTCGAGTGGCGAATAGCTTTTCCTATCGGTAATAAGTGGTGTGGGTTTGTTCTCCCCCTAACAGCTTGTTCTGGAACTGCAGGGGGGTTTCTGGCAAAACCTTTCAGAGCAGATAAATTCACATAGAAACAATGTATTTTTAACATTTTTGGTATGTGGGTGGCTTAGACAGAGATCCACACTATTGGATGCAAATTTTGCAAATGATGACTTCATTTGCATAATCAATGAGGAAATTCTGTAATCCCAGTGTTTTACATCATGGGACTTTGATACATGTAACGTTTATAATCTATGGCAGGTGGAATATCACCAGATACCAATTATACAAATACGGACCTAATTTGCATAATTAGTCTGAAAATTCTATTCCTCTGTAATTGTAAATGATGGGAATTTCATACTTTCGACATATGTAAGTTAATCAAAAGTTGACACCACGATGCATCTATTATGTTAATGCAACGGTCATTTGCATGATTAAGGAAGAAATTTACATTTACATATCAAGCCGATATTTCATGGAGGTATGAGATCTCTGAACTCTTGTTTCATTTCATTTATAACGCAATCGTAATTTTGCAACAATTCCATCCGTCCATCGCCGTCAAGATCATATTGACTTTAGTCTGGGCATGGCTTTTTAGTTCGATCTTCATTCAAAATCAGATATCTTTAATATGCTCCTTTCATGTCCTACTCAGATATCAGTGTACCTTGGAAAATTCATATTTGAATCACTACAAAAGCGACACCATATTGTAAATAGCTGATATATCCCCTGAATTACAGAATGTAATGATACTCTTCCTAAGAAAACACCATAGATTAGCTTTAGTATCATTATGGACTAGCTCGTTAGAATTATATTTTAGTAATAGTTGTGTAAACTATGTACCCTTGTTGTTTCTTTACCATACATTGTACCAGCCACAGTTGTTGAGCAATAAAGTTGATTTGATTTTCAATTTCAATTTCAAAGTTGTAACACATGTTGGGCCTCCCTCACAGTTTCAAATACCATACATCGTCTGATTTATAAACCATGCACTTCAGAAGACTTGTAGAACATTAGAAACATTTCCTCATTTGGCATTTGGAGACGATTTTCGATCTTATCTGTTACGTTATAAATCTTTGTGGCGTGTTGGTTGAATAGCGTTCTAGACCGCGGTGACATATTTTCCTTGTCAATATGGCGCCAGTACCATCAGGTGTGTGTTCAAAATGCATGGATATTCCGTCCCGAAGATGAAGTTGATATGCTCCATGGTTTCCCTAGCTACTGGCTATTACATGAAACAGAATATTTCATCGATTTTCTGTCCACTTTTATGTCCTATGAAATGTACCGGTCGTGACATGCCCCGAAAAATTTTATTTTTCAATATCTCATGTAGTGACTTTGAGATAACAGTGATTATCTTTCGATGCGTGTATCGCTACTCAGATGATTTACAACTGGATCGTGCAAAGCCCAGGGGCTTTTAAGAACTATCCTATTGACATTTCCAAACTGCATGATTGTATACCAATTTTCCCTACTGTCTGATTTATAGGTACAAGAGAGATGAGGGAGTGCTGTAATCTGATGCATTTAGATTGACAGATATACAGCAATATACCATATAGTTTTCCTACTATCGTCAGCTTCTCTGTTGCAGTTATTTGCAGAATTACAAAACGTATAAGAAGCGCTAAAACATGCGATACCTTGGATAAAGTAGCCTCTACCAGGCTTGGGGAGGCGACTGGAAAGAGTAGAAATGGGCCAAATAGAGAGATAAGCATGCCAAGGGAGTTTGTCCGTTGAGAGAACATTCCAGCCGCCTCCCCAAGCCTGGTAGAGGCTATGGATATAGGACGGGTCTGTCTTTCATGTATTGAAAAATCTTATCAATTTATTATATACATATCATTATACCATGTATACCATGCATTCATATAGAGTTGTGCGACGATAATTTCCAATTGACACGAAGAAATGCCTGTGAATCAGAGTTTGACATTATCGGTGATAGTCTGACATTATCGGTGACACGTAGAACTACACGGCCGGTATCACATCAGGCACAGCACAATTCAGGCAGTTTGCATTTTTAGTGTGGCGCCGGTCCCATTACCTGAGGGTTAGAAATACAGGGATATTTCTTCCTAAAGGGCAAGTGTATTCATGAATGGTCGATACTTACCTACCCGCTGTTACAAGGAAAATATGTTCCAATCGTAGCCTGTGGCGTTTTATACGAAACAACACGCCTAGTACATGATATAATCACCGGTCTTATCCTTTGATATCCGTAGCTTACGGTTACATTGAGTTACTTTGAAATAATCAATAGAACTGGATTACCAACAGTTTCTTATTCATGTTTTAGTGTCATCAAAGTGACACCTAAAAATGCAAACGCAATTTAAGTTGTGAGATATACAGCCTCTAGGGCAGGCCCTTGTCAACATTGAATTTCATACTTGGCGAAACATGCTTTGAAGTAATTTTGGAGACGACTATTGCAGAGGACAGGCAATACCGGCATTGATGGCGGGTGACTGGCTGGTCATGGTCGGACGGCGGCGTTATATATGATATGCATACATATGAAAATAGTTTGTAGTTCACCGTACGAAAGTCACTGTACTTTTTGTTGGGTCAATAAATAAGTAAATTACGAATTAGTGCACACCCTCTCGAAATTGAGAGAGGGCGGTACAAGAAGCTCCAAGTGTATGAACGAATTTGCAAACATTGTACGCTTAATACGATGGAAGACGAAACTCATTTTATATCAAATTGTACCCTCTATATTAATGAACGAAATGAACTCTTTGACGTAGCCTCGAAATTCTACCCAAACTTTCACACATATACAAATGAAAAGAAAACTAGTCTCCTGTTAACATCCAAAAACCCACAAATTACAGAAAAATTGGGACCCTTTGTCTTCCTCTGTCTTCAAAAAAGAAGTCAAACCCAGTAGTTTTCACCAGTAGTTTCTTAGTAGTTATCAGTAGTTCTATGTGTACTAATTGTCTGTTTTTATACCATGTTTCTTCTGTTCCTGCAATTAGCCATCGGGCAAGAATTTGCAAAAAACAATATAATAAACTTCATAATCTTTTTTCAAAGGCATGTGCTTGTTTAAAGGTACTTTATGTAACATTAGGTTGATACAAAAAGTAAATTTCCTTATCATTTCTTTACAAATTAATTTGAACTATTGCTACTCTATTGAAAATATTCTATTCAGAAAATGAAGGTGCCAAAATATGGCCTCTTATTAATTACGGGTGGGTTTAAAACCTTGCAACACAGCCGTCAGCCATGTTTGTTTACATTTTGGTAGTTTGTGGTGGCGCCACAAACTGAGTGCCTCTTGAATGGACAGTTTAGACGCCAACCTTAAATGTTAAAAATGTGAGATAATTGCACAAATATGTTAAAAAGTAAAAGTGAAAGATTAGTACATAAGTTTTTCTTTGAATAAAATATTTCAATTTTTGGTGAAAAATGTTACATAATGGCGCCCTTTAAGTAGTCTCCATCAAAAAATGTAGAATTTACCGCAATAGGGACAACGATTAACCAGGAAAGTTTGGCCATCATGGACCAAACAAAACATAAAGTTACAAAACAACCAAGCGTCAAAACAAAATCGTTAACCGTAAATCGATGTCGTTAAGCCAGGCCAAGGTCAGAGGTCAGCAGTGTTGTTTCAGAACCTTTTTAAACGACAGGTAAGACGTGGCCACTCTAACTGTGGCAGGTAGGCCGTTCCAGGCAAATGCTCCCCTATACGCAAACTTTCTTCGGTCAGATTCCAGTCGGACGTTAGGAAGTTTTAAAGATAAGTTTGAGTTGTGCCTAGTCTGGTAGATATGAGATGTTCTGCAGAACACTTACGTAATAACATGGCTCATCAGTAATGGGAACATCAGTTGTGCAGGAAGCAATTTACTGTTGATTATATCATCCCCCCCGCGATCCCTGCCTTGTGGTTCCTCCCAGGTGGTCCAATCCCAGTTACTCTGTGGAACTTCTGCTGAATACAAAATTACCGACCAAGTGCAGGTAACTAGGTGTGGGTATTGATAAAAATGATGGATGTATCTTAGAACTGCCACTTGGTTGCAGAAGCGCTCTTGTTTGACTACAAATCAGCTTCAGTACCCGGCGCTTACAGTCCCGCCTTGTCGTGTGTCTGCAATCCTAGGTAGTTTCAGATAAGGCCACACCAAGTAAATTTTATGGATGACGTCCTTTGGAGACCCTAAATCTAATGCGAAAAAAAAACAAGAAGGGCCCTAAAAAACAAGATGCCTCGATTAGAAATATACTAAGAGACGACAAATGTTAGGACATAAATTAAATGAGGTGACACAGTGTAACAAGCGAGAAGTCTTTTATTCATCATCAAAACAGCAATAAATCAGGTGGAACAGCAGTTGTCGTCCTGTCCTGTTTTCTGTTATTGGCAGGATGGTCCTGTCAATAGACACTTTCTTTCGGCGTTACGGGTTTCACGTCAATCTGACGATTTGTGGCACTGTCGTGACTCTTTGGTCATAGTTACAGGAAGCAGAATTTCTTGTTTTTTTCCAGGAACAGGCCAAAATCAATGCGCGTGCGGACGTCATCCATAAAATTTACTTGGTGTGGCCTAAACACAAAATCATAGTCAGATGTGCGTATTGATAGAATAATGATGCATAGTCGGGTTTTAGCTGAATACAGCAGGGTTATAGCTGCACTACACATCAGTCTTGGAACCCAGATTAAACATGGACATTTTTTGTACTGTATTCTCAAATACTGTAAAGGCACTTTACACGACTTCCACCGAGCCTCTTCGGCTAATCTGTCTAACTGTGTTACAAAAACACACTACGATTTTGGTGCGCCGATGTGACAACATCTGCACATTGGCCACTAAGAGCCGTTAATTCTTTAAATTAACAAAGGGCAGTCCCTTGTGCAATGAATGTGGCAATGTATGCAGCGATGTACATCCAGGTTGTCTTTTATCGCTTAGTTTTCCCCGAAAGCAGCTTGAAAGAATGAATGAATAAATAAATGAATGAATGAATAAATGAATGAATGAATGAAAGACCTTTATTGTACGTTTGTGCTCTAACAAGCTAAGTACAGGTCATGAATAGACAAGGAAAAGGATACAGCAATGACACTTAAACCATACATACCAATGTGATCTACTATTTACATGTTCGACTTCTTCTCGCTTCTTGACGCAGTTAAAGATGTACGAGCATATAGAAGTAATGATACATGGTTTGTCAAGTTTCATGAGAAATATGAATTTTTCTGATTCATTTAAATGTCCAAAGCTGGGGAACTTATCTATTATATAAAAATATAGGAAATCTCTCTCATTACTATATAACGTACAATCGACTACGAGATGATACTCATCCTCAATCTTATCTAAATCACAAAATTGGCAAATCCTTTGCTCTAGAGGAATGCGGTTGTGTCTGCCTTTTTATATGTGGAGTTTGTGTGAACTTATCCGGAGTATTGTGACGGCTGTTCTGTGTCGAATGTTTGTAATTTTCAGATATTTTTCCTCGTGGTATATATCTTTATGTCCTTAATTTGTTGTTGTTCCGCATTTCCGATATAAAAGATTGGAGATACATGTCCTTAAGACGTTGGTTGATGGATGATATGATTTGGGGCAAATTGAAGGTAGAAGACAAGGACGAATGTTAAACATAAGCAAAACTTAAGTTTAAAGCACATTTGTGTTTGTACATTTTTATAAGTAGATGAAGAGCACGATAGCCACGTAGTATTTAATTAATTTGTCAGCATGATGAACTCGTGCATTTTACAATTAACGTTTGTATGTTTGATTACTACCTACTGTATATATGCACGTAGTAGAGCAAATTCTTGAAGCATGAGATTTAAAATCTCTCTAACCAGATCAGCCATGAATAAGAAGGTGATTCCTACTACCCTTTCACCAAAACCCTATTACTTTTCTTACCTTGCACCTATATCCTTTCTAATACGAAGCATAATGTAGGGATAGTGTTGCATAATTTATTACAAATCGATATAGATACATTTTCACACCACTTTACATCGCACGGACATTAGATTAAATGATTTATTTATCAAGATTTAGACATGAACCGTATCTGTATGTTTTCATGAACATGTTATTTCATGTCACATAAAACTCTTTCAATTTGTTATCGTATCTGTGTGTTTTCATGAACATTTTATTTCATGTCACATAAAATTCTTTCAATTTGTTATTCCCGTGGAGTCATTAGTTCTGTCGTTTGCAGCGTATTTGTCACGCTGAGTACTACATCTACATTAACTAATGTCATTAGTAGCCTCCGTAGCAGTGTTATAGAACTGGGGGTTTGGTGGTCTTCGGCTGTTTTCTGATAAGCCCAGTTCTAATTCAACCAGGCCGGCTATGTTGTCTACATGCAATCAGAAAATAGCACATAAAAGCTCCCAAAGACCAGGAAGACCCCAAAATCCCCAGTTCTTTTTGGCATGCTATATGGAGGCTATGTCATTAGCCTTTTCAAAAACAATTTTGCGTCCGACACAAAGTTTTCAAATTTGCATACACCGAACACGAATAGAGTTATAGGCAGTTAATAGTCCGTTGTACTACGTATACGTACTGTATACCTATATATTCGGAGTAGAAAAGCGAATTTCACTACCTATTATGCCTCAGTGAAACTAAAGACCGATTTCTGTTTTTTAACTGCATTGCAGTTTAGGAATCCACACATCGGCTGGACCAATAGCAGTGGTTTACTTCAATTTTGCATATGCCACAACCTACCAGAAATAGATAACAGACATATTTGCTCTAGATTCTCATGTAAGAAAATAAAACTAGCTAAAAATTCACAGAATTTCTATAGAAATGGTCAGTGTATAAAGTTAAACCTACAAATTTCAAACTGTTTCGCTGAAAACTATGCCCCATCCGCGAGGTTATTTCCCTACTGATAGGTCGGTGGCACTAGCTAATGCGAATACCTGCAGTTCAGTCTTTTTAATTGAGTCACGTTGAATGATTTCTTTTAAAAATTGCTAACAGCTGTCAGTAATAGATACCGTAAAAAAACGACAGAATTTGAAGTTATTGATACATTTTCTTCTATTAAAACAACTGATATTTGACACTCGTTACACACAGCTCTTCATCTTCTGAAGAAATTGATAGAGATATCACTTTGCCCTACCAAATCAATACTTCGACATCGAGTGAATTTCCCGCAACAATTATAACACTGATATAATACGACAAAGCGTCTATGTACACAAGATTGACATCTGGGTTCCCTGGCCGACGGAACAGAACAAAGCAATTAGGAGTGTAATTAGAATATAGGTAACAGGAGACACGTACCTGATTGTGTACGCACCTCGTATTGCCATAAAAGTCTGCCGTTACTTCCAGGAATACCTATTTTGTTCCCGGGATTAACCCACACATGTACTGCGGGATGGGGCCCAGAGGAGCCCTGTCACTTAAAAAAAACCACCAGCACCTTTCAGTCCGTATAGCAGGCTCGTAGTCACACCCATTCTTTGAATACCATCGGTCATTGGAAAACGCTCACGTGATTCTGACCTGGACGGATTCAATGCAGAAACACTACCTATCCAAACCAAATCCACTTATTAATGCACAAATTATATTCTCCTTGCGATGTCAATCAGATCATTTAATGCCACGCTCTTCTCAACAACCTAATTTTCTATTGACTGGGGGAAATATTTTGATTCCGTACACACTCAATGTTTGCAAACGAATGCAAAGATCCATGTCGTTATTCCTCTTGTGGTTTGGAGAGGGAAATGCCACAGCAGTTTTTGGACATTCTCGGGGGAGTGTTGCTAGCCAATTAAAGATTGAGTTATCAGCCCTGACCCAATTACACTGCACTTTCCATGCAGGCATTTTATTCATGTGCATCAATCTAATTGGTTATGTCGTTTTACCAATCGATATAATCCGATGTGCTTTTGCATTCGCCTTACTCAGTGCAATTAAGACGCTTCAGGCAACTCCGACAGAATTACTGCTGAAAGTACAAAAAAAATGGTTCAAAAGAAAAAAAATCAACAAAGAAGGCTTCAGATTGCTCGGGAAAGTAATTAGAATTGAGTGAAATTACCCCAAAATTCACAAGGACGAAGGTAATTTGTCCAATTCCCCGCCCCTATTACACGCTATCTCCACTGAAACGCCTCACATGAATCACTTGTCAACCTATTATTCGGACATTAATTAACCGAGCTGTATTCTGCTGTGGTCACCTTCTCGGGAACCCATGCAGTTGTGATTCATTGAAAGCAAAGGTCACCCTTGTCATAAAAAAAAACGGTGAATATTAATTTTTACCTTTTTGTGTGGTCGGTGCCCTGATTTATAACTAATGTCTTCGAGAGAAGTTAGATTGACGACACTAGTGTTTCTTACTATAGGCATCTCGCTTGTCTCCATTAAGTACGTTCAAGGGGTCAATCCCCTGAAAGCCAATGATAATTTACAAAGGCATTACGATGTCACTAAAAGGTTCTAACTACGAATGAACTTATTGCATTCACGACTGTGTTTTTCAAGGTTTTGCTACTGAAACGTACTTATATATACGTCTGGTATCTCCTAGCTACTCGAAAGAGTTTTAGAATGATGACAGGGGATGTTCACGGCTTCTATCGCCAATATAACAGTGTGATAGATTCGGCACTCCTATATTCTAATGGTACTTTTGGGGTCCCAGTAAGACAATCGTAGACGTCAAATTAGGTAATTTTAGATAATTTTATCCAATTATCCAAGAAATACGACGTCAATGATTGAAGACCTCAAGTGAAATGCTTACGCCTTTTGATAGCATTATTTTACTGGTCACAGAGTTGAATATAACTCTTTATTTGTCACAAAATCCATATATGAGATATTGCTCTGGATTTGTGGCAATAAATGGTGCGTGACGATGGCTAGTCCTGGTCTTTGCAGGATGTATGCTTCAGCAGACATGCTTCTACTCTTTCACTCAGAAAAAATTGTGAACCGGAATAGCGTGTAGAATAAAAGCACATTTCCGGGCCATTATTGTTCTGGGAAATGTTGTGCCCAACCGTGAAATCCTAATGGCATCAGATACCTTTTATTTATCAATTAGTATTGCGGCCATGCATTTCCTGACGAATGCAAAGTACTCTAATGCCACGAATAACCGCATAGCGCTTTACCTAGAATATCGCTAACATATGTTAGATTTTAAATTCCGGTAATTAACATTGTGTCGTTGTTCTCTCATTTCAAAGACACATTTCCTAGTAAAAATCGATAAATCCTATCAATTTACATGCAATATGAAGGTTGGTGCCGTATTTGGTAAGTCATACTAATCGAATTCAATACATCAACTTAATCATCATTCTTGTATTTCACACATATTCCACGCAATGTCACATTACACCAACCAATTCTCGGTGAAACAGATTTCTGGCCTTGCTACAATCGAGGGGAAGTGGAGGAAACTTGTACTAGTTGCCTGCGCAGCAGCCAGTCGACAACAATATCACATGTCAGGAGTGAGTGGTAGTTTCATTAGTTTCATGTGTTAACATGGAGACGTTCTGTCTCAAGGTTTTCCTTGTAAACATATCATTGAACTAGATAAATAGGACGTCAGTTTTCATACGAAATACAACTAATACTGAAGCAGACTAGTGATTGATAACAGTCGCGGTGGCTTTGAATAATACATGGATGCAATATATGACATGTTGTTACTTGTATGCTCAAGGGAAGGTTCTCAATTGAACTGGCGGCGTTCTTTTTTTATTCGTTTAATGTAAGTAAGACACATAATCTAATTGTGCAAATTGAAGTTCAAATTTTGTACTGTCTATCTACTATATATAAGGCCACACCAAGTAAATTTTATGGATGACGTCCTTTGGAGACCCTAAATCTAATGCGAGAGGGCGAAAAAAAACAAGAAGGGCCCTAAAAACAAGAGGCCTAGATTAGAAATATACTAAGAGACAACAAATGTTAGGACACAAATTGATTGAGGTGACACAGTGTAACAAGCAAGAAGTCTGTTATTCATCATCAAAACAGCAATAATTCAGGTGGAACAGTGAAAAATTTTCTGTTATTGACAGGATGGTCCTGTCAATAATGCAAATTTTATGTTATTGGCAGGATGGTCCTGTCAATAGACACTTTCTTCGCGTTACGGGTTTCACATCAATCTGGTGATTTGCGGCACTGTCGTGACTCTTTGGCCATAGTTACAGGAAGCGGAATTTCTTGTTTTTTTTCTAGGAACAGGCCAAAATCAATGCGCGCGAACGTCATCCATAAAATTTACTTGGTGTGGCCTAATAGGCGAATGAAAACCCTTCAATGCCGTACCTCTAGTTGAACACCAAAGACGCACTGGACTCATTTCATTGGACAGCAGCATTCGACCCAACGGCTCGTTACCAAACTGTGTCGATTCTGCAATTCGAAATGAAAAATAGTAATTTGTGGTGCTCACAGTGAATGAATGCAGAATGATAGTGTGGGGAGTAATGATGCCTCGGAAAGCTTGCTGATGCAAGCCGCTGACATGATGCCTGTGGACGGACTGTGGAGCGTGTTGTCAGGTCTTTAATGTGTACACAGCTACACTGCGACGATGAAGTGCCTCATTTGATATTATATAGATGGACTGAAGTAATGGTCCTAGCAATGGGCTCAAATGATTCAAAATGTCTGATGGAAACAGACCGCATACCGCCGCTGACGTATGTTACTACTTTGTCACAGGAGAACACTTAGCTAATGACGCATGCACCTCGTCTGTAGCGACGTTATCTTTTCTTTCTGGGCTACGGAAATTCATTTCACAAGGGTTACTATTTAGACGGTAATGACCGGGACTCAAAATGCCTACATTGTTGTGATAGATCTCGTACGAATACCAATTCGAAGTGAATTATTTTTATGGGTGAAATTTACTTCCTCGTATCTCGTGCCGTCATCAGACATGCTGTTCTTGTAATCGTCACGAAGTTCATACAAGAGTCTATTCTAACATCAAAAAGATAGCCCACTTTCCTAAGCTAACAGACAAAAATACTTTTTTTAACTTTCCAAAAAAAACACACACCATGGAATTGTGTGACATTATCTATTGCAGGGCTTATACAGAAAAAGTCAAACTCCGTAGATACAGCTTTAGACAATTTACCTTTTAGAATGTAGATTTACACAGCTTTTATAATTCTTCTATACGTTGCTTCCTTGTTTCCGTGTCTTTGTTACCTGAAATTATCCCTAGGGCATGAATTTGCTTCATTAACTATATTCAAGTAATTAAGATAAAGCAAATATTTATTTCAAAACAAATTTCCAAAAAAAATGAAGTCGTCGTTTTGATCGTTTATTCTTAAGCCCCTGAGAGCGAGCAATCCCAGTAGGCGTGATACGCACACTAAACTGTCGATACAACCTTCCATAGTAGGAGGCACGTAAAGGGTGTTCTTCCATTCTATCAATGGTTTATTTCCGTTAAAAACACAACAGCACTGTCCCAAAAATGGTAGCCAGAGGCTGAATTGACATGGGGACATTACATAAACAGAAAACAGTATAAAACGTCATATTAAACAATTTAAAGTAGTAATAAACCATTAAATTATGTATATAAAATATTGTCAGTAAACGTTAACAAGGGCAAATAACATTTCAGATAACAATACCGACGGACAATGGTAACACTAAAATAAGTCTTAGGTCCAAAAAAATGTGACAGTGTTACATGTTAAGCAGGCGGATCATAAAGGGAAGAGCACTATTCTGGTAACGATCAGTTCTGCCACGAGGAGTGTTCAGATTCTAATTCTGAAACAAAGCAGCGGTTGCCAGTCACCAGAACTATTCCCTATCTAAAGGATAAACTGATGGTTCATCGTACATGCTGTAAGCCAAATTGTCTAACAAGAAAGTAACAGTATTTGGTTTCATGAACTTTATTTCCAAATTCATATAGTGTTATCTTGATGCTTACTGTTGACTTGAATAATGCAGGTCTTAACTTTTTAAGCTCCATTCCCTTTACCGAGGCTTCAACATGTTTTCCGTTGGTCCATGAGATGCTGCACCTAAATTTGTAGTATTCTCACATTTCTGCCATAAAATGCCGTCTCCTGTGCCCGGCCGTACACGTCTGTTCGGGTCATGTTGTCAGCTTCAACAGGTTGTCGTAAACCCTGTCTTTTTACCCCAGATAGGAATAACGTATTGTCATCATTTTTGGTATGTAGGTAGCTGGGGGAGAGTTATACATAATTAAATGCAAATTATGCAAATGAGGACTTAATTTGCATAATTATTGAGGTAATTCTATAATTACAGTGTTTTATATAATAGTCCTGTTATTCTTGTAATATATTCAATCTGTGGCAGGCAGAACATCAACAGATACCAATTATGCAAATGATAACCTA